TGGCTGCGAACGAAACTAGGCTCCCTTAAGGAGCGGTGTGGTCGAGATGAACTGCGACCGAAGAAAAATGCAATCTGCATGCACGACTTGCAGCCGATACGCCTCCTTGGGGGTGCTATGGAGCCAAAGGAGAAGGCCAGGAGCATGTCCGCTTGGACCTTCACTGGAGGAAAAGGGACTATGTACGAACAGTTGGTGCGTTATGTTATGAAGACGCACTTAAACCTTATGAGCTGGCTGCAGGCCGGCCGTTCCCCGAGGAGCTGGTGATAGCAACAGTGGTCACGGGGCTCAAGGAGCCCCTGCGAAGCCAGATTCAGATGAGGTTGTCCAGCCTCCACGAAGAAGCCGGCCCAAGGACAAGATGAAAGCTCTGATCCTTGCCATGCAGAACCTTTCTTTGATGCACACGTCCATCCATGCTCTCCACCTCCAGCTTCAGCAGCCGTGTGCCATTTGTGGGTTTCTCTTCCCTTCGGCGTCCTGCAAAGTGATGCCCAGCCCCTCGGCCTCGACGGCAAGACCAGCAAACTCCAGAGGGGCCACCGAGACATCCGCCCCCGAGCCCACCACAACTTCCACACTGCGACCTTCATCTTGAGGGTGGCCACTTTTCACGGCCAGGACACTAGCAAGCAGGTCCGTGCCCATCTCCATCAAGTTCACCTCCAGCTCGCTGTTGGGGTAGGTCCAGTTGCCGTCGAGGTCCGTGCCGTCCATGGCAAACCCAGAGAAGAGGATGCTCTCAGGCAGGCCCCCGCCTTGCTCCTCAAAGGGATACATGAGAACCTCGGGGAGTGCAAAGTCCTCGGGCACATCAATCTCCGAAATATCAAAGATTTGCGTCTGGGCACAGGTGGGCGGCGTCGAGCACTCAAAGATCTGCACCCGATTCACTGTTCCAGCTCCGGTAGAAGGAGGGAGCATAAGACCACCGACGAAGCCGATGGAGGAAGGCTCCCACTTGTGGCCTCCACCTGGTGCACTCCCTTGTCGCCTTTGTTCGGGCACATTGTTCCAGTGTCCCGGTTGCCAGCACAGATGGCAAAGGTTGCTGTTGTTGTCGCCCTTGTCCTTGCCATGGTAGCATCGGTTGCTTTTTCGGTCACCTGGTCGCATTTCTTCCTGAGCCGACAAAATGAACGTCAGCTGATGGTAGGCCGGTTGTGCATGCAGTTAGACTGGTTGTAGCTATAGTGGCCGGAGCTCGTCTCTCACAGCAGCCACGACGGGAATAGCACTAGGGCCATGGCAGTGAGCCACCTAGATTTTTCGGCTGCTCTCCACTTCGATTACCTGGAGGGCTTCATCGTCCTCTCCTACATCAAGCGGTTGTGTGTGGAGTTTGACACCCCCATGCCCCCGACGGTAGGCATTCTTTCTCGCAACGACTCCATCCATTGGGCTTTGTCGAACCTGCCAGCCGAAGCCCACCCGAGCCATCTTAAATCGACACCTTGACGGCACCCGCTACCACTGGCCAGACCATCATCCTCGCTTACCAGATCCGCTCTCCATACCACAGAGTGCTCCGCAGGAGGAGCAATTAGCTTACGACTTCCTGGAGGAGGGTCACGGCTCGTTGTGGCATTCCGTGAGACAAATAGCATCAGCTCTGCCTTACGCCTATGTCACGCGCAACTGCCTGTGGGGCATGAGAGTTCAGCAAGCAAAAGCATTTCGATTAGGTGCCTATGTACGTGCAGTCCCAGGCCTCTTCCAGAACACAATCCTCTACCCCAACACCTCCTCTCTATTCAACGCCATGATTGCGTCCTGCGACCCCACCTTCACTTGGACTTCGCTCAGCGTACAGTACAACCTCTGCTCTCCCCCTCACCGTGACCTCTCGAACAGCGGCGACTCCATGATCCTCCAGCTCACTTACAATGAGGGCGGAGCTGTCTGGATAGAGCAGGAAGGCGGCTCGGACTACCAGGAGGTACAGGGACGAGCAGCCTTGGTAAGCGGCACCTCTCACTCACTGCAAGGCCGCGCGATTCTTTTCCCAGCCCGAGATCTTCTACACACTACGATGCCATGGTCTGTCTTTGACAGAGTCGTGCTTGCGGCCTACACGGCCGCAGATTGGGAGCGCTTCTCCGACGAGATGCGGGCTGCATTGCAAAGAGTTGGCTTCAACCTGCCGCCCTCCCCGAATCGGGGCAATGATCCAGTACTTCCACCAGTACTAGGCTAGGCCTCGGGCACAGCCCACAAACATACCGAGGCTACAAGCCCCACCGGGTCTGTACCGTTGAGGCATGGAAAAGTTTGCGCATGTTGCCAGTGAAGAGAACATCATCATGTTTGTCAGCTCACAATCCTGACTGTTGCAGGTGGTGCTGCCGGTGGGAATCGCAGTCTGCTGTGACGGGGTGCCCCCTTTCTCTAGCCAGGCAAAGGGACACCGATTTTCAGTGCAAGTGTCGCCTCTCAACGTTTGCCTGTGGATGCTTTATTTCTTGCAGCTGCTGCGCACATCAAGTTCACATGCTTGGCATGCTAGGGCAGTTTAAGCGGGAGTTTGTGATCAATAGGCCGTCATTTTTCGCAGCTTCACAGCTTCACAGCTCTAAGTTGCAGACTGCGCAGCTCTTATTGACTTAGACAAGCAGCAGCCTTGTGTGTCACTATACTTGCATTCTCGACGCAGTCATCAGGGCACAGCCCCCGTGCGGACTACGACACAGTCGGTTTCACCCATGGAACCGAAGGAGGCGTTCGTGGTCCTCAGCAACAGCACTATGCAATATTTGCTTGAGGGCAGATCGTACGGGTTATACAATTCTTCTCTGGTTTTGTGCTCAGCTGCCCTGGCGCCGCATTGAACATCAACCACAGCGGCCAGGATATTCCTTCCATATTGGAGTTGCTGCACTGGCATTTTGGCAAATCCATGGGCCACAAGTCCTTTGAGGCTCCATATCAGGACGAGGCCTTGGCTGCCATGCTCTCCTCCAACATAGGCGAGAACATCAACGTTCACTTCATACCGATCGAGAATTCATTGCTACCGAGGAAGCAGATACGGACCACACTACAACATCCTGCATCTGCATAGGCCACCTAGTTAGATAATCTAGATTAGATAGTTTACAGTTTACATACCAAATTTGTCAAGCAAGCACACAGTCACACACAGGACTACGTAGATGTTAGATGCTTCACGGGATACACCGCTACACAAGCTGCCCACTCACGATACAAGATCATGAGAACGCCTCACCTGTACTTCAAGGCCAACTTGTCAAGCTCGGCCACCGATTGCACGAAGGATTCCACCTCTTCCTCGAGCTGGACGTCCACCTTCATGCAAAACTCATGGCTCTTCTCCACCGTTGAGGGGTGCAGGAGGTGCTCGTCCACAGATTTTGCTTTGATGTAGACCGGCACGGCAGCGACCAGCACATCGAAAGAAGCTTCCTCCACCTTCGGAAGAGCAATGGCCAACTCTTTGGCCAAGTTCAGGCTGGCCACGGCACTTTTAATCTCCGCAGTCTGCGCCGGCAAGGTCTCATTGACTTTGGCCACAACCTGTACTCCCCACACGGGCAAGATATCTCGTACGGTGCAGACTTGTAGAGTCGGCATTCGTTTGCTTTCAGCTTGAAGATGCGCCTCCACGTGTGTGTTTGTGTTTGTGTGTGTGAACCGTCCCAGGTCAACACTCCTCCGGAACCCGAAGAAGCTGCAATGGAAAAAGCTGTTAGAAGGAGAGTTGCTTCAATGAAGAATCACGGGCCGTGACCGTGGAGGAGCCGGAGGACGAGCAAGTGGACCCTCTAGGACTCTAGGAGGGATCCAAGAGCCGATGGCTGAGGACACGGCCGTTGA